CCACCAGGGGGTTCTTGGGTTACCGCCCCGACAGACACCAACAAGCTTTTGGCCACAGCTATGCCTGGCAGCTTCCACAGTGGAGGTTTTGAACAGGGTCCATCCAGACTCCATGCCCCCTACCTCCTCCAGAACATGAGAAAAGCTCTCCCAGAAGTTGGAGTTAAAATCATTCCGAACAGGGGCCTCCGACAGTCGTTCCCAGCACACCCTCACTATTCACTATTCACTTCAGTCTTCCATGCCATCTGATCCAACTCACCACCAGTTGGTGATCAGTTGACAGTTCAGCACCTCTCTTCACCCGAGTGTCCAGAACATATGGTCCCAAGTCAGATGAAAGTCGATCATTGACCTTTTACCCAAGGAGCTCTGGTAACACATACACTTATGAACATCCATTTGTTCGAACTTGGTGTTCATTATGGACAATCCAGTCCGTTCTTCCCAATCACACCTTTCCCAGTGCTCCCAGTCATTGCCAACATGAGCACTGAAGTCTCCCAGCAAGACTATGGAGTCTGTAGGTGAGGCCCTTTCCAGAACCCCGCCCACTCGCTCCAAGAAGGGCAAACACTCCGACCTGTTGTTTGATGCATAAGCACACACAACAGATTTTTCCTCCCTGCGATTTTAATTCGCATTGAGGCGACCCTCGTATCCACTGGGACAAACTCCAATTGCATGGCAGCGAGCCGGGAACTTGTGAGTATCCCCACACCTGCCCAGCGCCTCTCACCCTGTGGAGTAGGAGAGGGACCAACCGCCCTATCAAGGAGTTTGGTTCCAGAGTAGACACTGTGGGTGGAGGTGAGCCCAACTATATCTAGTTGGTGCCTCTCAACCTCCCACACAAGCTACGGCTCCATCCCCACCAGTGAGGTTACATTCCACGTACCAAGAGTCAGTTTCTGCCGCAGAGGTCTATGCCGCCAAGGGCCTCCCTGCCATCTCCCACTGCCTATACAGCACAGCACTGGTCCCTGGCAGGGAACACAGTTTTCTGTGTCCCTTTGTCATGGAGGATTTTTTGGATCAAGCTAGTCTGGGTCTTTTAACCCAAGCCTGTTCATCTTGGGAGACCCTACCAGGAGCATGTTGCTCCAGATGACTTAGGTCTGAAGGTCCCTAGACCACACAAGCCCTTCCACCATGGCAAGGCCCCGATCCAGGAAGGGAAACAACTTGAAAACAAATAAATGTATATGTACTTAAAAACAAAAAGGAAAATGTACATAATGAAAGGAAAAAAAGCTCAAAGGGAGCTGGAGCTACTTTTTCAAAGTATTTTGCTCAACCCTGTGCTGGGCATATCCTTTTGCTTCTCCTTTTCAAGCACACTTAATTTATTGAGAAATCAAGTCATTAATCTTGGGTCACACTCAACTGAAAAACATGGAGTGCTTGTATAATAACAGCATCTACTATTCTGCCATTTTGTTTTAGCATAATTAACATCTGAGGCATGACACCATGCACCAATATCCATAAAAATAATGCTTCTTTGGGAAAGGCAAAATCAAAAACTTCAGTAACATGAAGAATTTAGAGATTCATGGTGAATGTCAGTTATTATGGCCAGTTTTGTTGCAACTTTATCATTAGTCATTGTTTTTTAGCCATTACTTTCAACACCAAGGATACGGTTAAACCACTATAGGAAGTATTGCACAATGGAAGCTTTTTTTCATCAGTAATTGTGAACCTAACTGTGATCATCAGACTGTACCTACCAAAGAACTAAACCCTGGGTTTAAATTAGGGACTTATGCCTCCATCAAATAGCATCAGGAATGTCTACACAAACAGCATCTCATGTTATATAGATTACTGTGAAATTACCTTCTCTCTTAGGTTGAAATGCAACAGAAGACAATGTACACATCATAACCATAGAACTAATTTCAATATTTTTTGACTTGCAGCATCTGCTTTGATCTCCAAGTGTTCCCACATACAGGGTTTTTGATCTTAATTAGTTCCTTTGCCATTTCAACGCATCTGGAAGACTGCAGATGATAAGGCATGCATACAGGGAAATTCCCAATTGAGAGAAATACATGCTTAAAGACATTTGTCAGCAATTATGGAGTTGGTCCTACATGGAAAAGCCTCCACCCAACGAGTAAAATGGTTGATGATGACGAAGATATACAGAGAGATTCCATTAGGATGAAGCAATCTAAACCAACAAAATACACTATATACCTTGACATAGGTGTAATCGATTGCAGTGCATGCGATGCTGGAAGTTTTTACGTGGCGCTCCATGTTCCTGAATGTTCTTTGCCTAAACAACAGCGCCTACCTCATCGCTCTGACTCAGGGGCATCCTGGCTTGTTCAAAGCTCCATATACTGAGGAGGAAATTGCATGTTGTTTCGTTCAGATTGCTTCATCCTAGCGAGAGTTGTTACAGAATATTCAGGGCCTTTTCGAGTGAATCTCCCTGTACATATAGCCCGTGCTCGGAGGTGAGGGGCCTGTAACGTCAGTGCATAAATGGGTCCAAACATCTTGTGAATTTGATGTGGAGCCCATTGAAATTATGTGTTTTTTTTGTTTTTTTTTAGGTGTTTGGCTTTCATTACAGGTTGATAATGCATTTTGATAATGCATGTTTGATAATGCATTTTGACATCTTCAGCCATTTTTGGTCACCAGTATTCCTTGGAAATGATTTTTAAGGTAGCAGCAGCAGTCATTTCAATCCATCTTCTGGCTGGCTCTGTCTCTTCCTTAAGACACACATTCTTCAGATTCTATATTCTAATTCTTAGCAGCATTTTTATTAGTCACATCATCATGGAAGGGAGTTGTCCCTTGTTTCAAATGCTTTTGCAGGGGGTAGACACTTTAACAATGGATACATTTCAGGGAAGGTAGAGGTCATGTTCTAGCTCTAGGTTCTCTTCAAATCCTGGCCAAAAGCCAGTTTGAGTCTCAGTGTGGGTCTATGAGTTTAGCCACTTTTGCTTCACCACTAGAGATTTTACCCGAGGCTACTAGTTGTTCTCTCTCTGTCTGTAGGTTGGGGTGACCATGGGCCATCCTGTGAAGTGCTTGCTGTTCAGACATTGATGGAGCCAATACAGAAGTAGTCATGGGCTTTCAAAGGTTTGGCAGAGGCATACACTTTTTATGACAGCTCAATTCTTTCTTGACAGAAGTGGGAGGGTCCCTCATCCACCTAAACTCTGTAGGTTTTGTTTAAAATTCTTTGACAATTGAAGTTTTGAGGCCTTGTCCCATCCAGCTGTTTTGTTGCATGTTACACTCTTTTTCCCTCTGGGGTCTAAGGCCATGAAACATCGGGCTAAGGGCTCAATTTTAGCATATCCTCTTAAATTGGACCTGCACATAACATGGTACCCATATGTTTGATATCAAAATGCTCCATTATCTTTATCATTACATTCCAAAACTGCTTACATCTCCATCCTGTATCTTGTACCCTGAACTCAAGCCAGCCTTTTGTTCCAACATTTTTTATGTAACTGTCCTCTTGGTCCACCAGCTGACAGTAAAAAATATGGAAAATTCCCATTTTCTTTTAATGTATCCGTGAGACAATTCCATAACACATGGATTCTGTTGGTTCAGCTTATATGGGTCATTCTACAGAAACGTCCACTTTTCTATCTCATTAGAATCATCACACATTAGAAAGGTAACACCAGAGATATTTTTAATGAAAAATGCATTTTATAAAATAACTGCTACAGAGCATCAAACTACATGTTATCAATCATGGAATATCCACTAAAATATGTAATTTAATCCATTTGTATTCTATTTTTTCACAATTACCCGAGAGTAAAGTAGGTCACACCAGTGACTTCAGCCAAAAGCTTCATATGAAATCATGAGCTAAATGAGAAAATTTGATACTTGAAAGACACAGTGGACTCACCATGTGCTTTTCTTCATAGGTCCTCAGAAAATAGGTAAAGGCAGTCAAGTGATGCCATCAGTGTGATGTTACACGGTTGTTACACGGTAACACCAGTGACACAACTCCTGGGGACCACAACTTTATTATATATTTTATAATATTTATTTGGCATTTGTTTTCTTTGGGTCAAACAAGTCATATATTTCATAGTCATGTATAGATTATTGCAGTTAAAATTGCAAACAATAATTTGTTCAATCGTTTTTTACCTCAAAATATGGCCTCACCCGTTACACATGACTGTGGGGACGCACTCTTCTGTGGTGCTTGGAATCCTATATAATTGATTTAAAAACCAATATTGCTAAATTGATGCTCAAGAAGGTGTAATTATTAACCTAATGTGTTATTTTAAAATGTAAGTAAATTGTAAACCTAATATGTTTTTCAAGTGTAATATATCTGTAAATGCTAGGGACACAAAAATGGATGCTGCTGTAGAATGATTTGCTGCTAAGGGTACAGATGATGCTGAAATGCAAGGCTGTCAATCCTTAGTGTAGACAGCGGAGAAACTGTTGGTGTCGCATAGTGTACACCTTACAAGTACAGGGAGATTCACTCGAAAGAGGCCCCGAATATTCTGTAATAACTCTGGCAAGGATGAAGCAATCTGAGCGAAACAACTTGCAATGAGCTCCTCAGTATATGGAGCTTCGAACAAGCCCAGGACGCCCCTGCGTCAGAGTGATGACGTGGGCGCCGGACAACCACTGTGATGTTTAACCTCCATTTGCAACTTGTGGGTTCAGATTGCCTTATCCTAACAGGAGTTACAGCAGAAGGTTCGGGGCCTCTTTCGAGTGAATCTCCCTGTATAATCCTGTAGCTTCTCTCGTAACTTGTAGGTGGTAGCTATATGTGTATCATGCATAGAGTCATATATGCTTAGTCTTTGAAATGCTGCCCCCCCACAAACTCAGAATTGAGCTTGTGCAATCTACTTCTGCATTTTCTACTCTTGAGGTGTGTGTGTGTTTGTGTGTGTCATGTGAGCATGATCCTCTATATAAGAACCAGATGCTGATTGCCTCTTACATACACCCCATATTCAACTGAACCTTTCCACTCTCTGTACTGTAATTATCTCAGGATGAGGGTCAGTGTGGTTCTGCTTTGGCTCTTCTTGTCTTGTGTTCAGCTCCAGAGAGCTGATGACCAGCTCAGAGCGAGGGATGTGCAGCTTCTGAACAAGGCTAATGTGGAGAGATCAGTGCCAGACCAAACCCACGAACATCATGATATGTGCACCGAGCTGAGAGAGCTGAAGGACATGGTCACGCAGCTGAGGGAGCAGCTGCAGTCCAGCCAAAGCGAGATTGAAGAGCTGAAGAAACAAAACGCAGGTAAATCAAATGATCTGAACTGAAAAGTTCCTCAATAACATTTTTTCACAAAACTGAACTGTTTTGAACCCTGAAAACCTGTATGAACATCAAAGATCAAACAACTCCACAAATTTGAAAAGTTCAGCACATTTTTAATGTTCCATATTGTTCCACATTGTTTCATGCTGTTTACAATGTTTTTAATGACATAGTAATCCATAAACATTTGTACTGTTTAAAATGTCTTTAATACTGTTTCTGATATTTTAAATATGTGCTTAATTAAATTTGTTGACAGGTGATTAGCTTTGGACTGACAGACTTTATGAAAAAAAAATAATAATAATAATAATAATTAAGCAATGATTTCTTTTTAAATTGAGGAAAGAAAATTGACTTTTTTTCAAACTTTTGCCACATTGAAATGTAGAAGATGACATTTTATCTCTCACTCAGGTTCTGACCAGCCACAGAAACAGGAACTCAGATCAGCCTGAGTCAGTGCAGGAAATCTCACTGTCTGTTACTGTGACGGGTAACGATGACTGAAATACGGTCTGCACGTATCAGTTAATGATGATGTCTTTGTAAATTTCATGCATCTTTATGACTCACTTTATTTACTTATTCATATTGAGGAAGACAGGATACTTGTCTGGTGCCTCTGCGAGAAACTGATTCTGTTTTTGTCTACACCAACACAGGACAAAGTGGGCAAACAACAAATATAACTAGTCTAGCTAGAGAATTTAGAGAACTAACTTACCTACACCAAAATAAAGAAACACCAATACATAGTCTTCCCTTACTCCCTAACTAGGCCAAAAACAGGAGAAAACACTGAGTTCAAAGAAATGGCACCCACTTCTACACCCTGGTCCAGATGAAATACCCCATGCACTCGCAGCCAGCCACTCAGATGTACACATTGTCATGGGACTCCAGCCAATGGCACACACGAGTGAGCAGGTTTCTAATAAGTGAAAGAGAAACAGAGAGAAAGAGAGCAGGAGAGAAACAAGCAGGACAAAAACATACGTCCTCAGGATGTAACACATGTTAATGACATGCCTCTCTAAACTTATTATGAGATGTTAGGTGACACTGAATCTTACTCATTAGGTTTGGTTGGTTTCACAGCGCAACAGCTAAAGTGAACCAAATCAGACAAACAGGTGTTTGGTTGTTGGTCAGAAGTTTTCCAGGGATGTGAGGATTCACCATGTGCTCACATTGACCACCATGAAAATGTAAAAATATACAAGAAAAAGATAATAATTTCTGCTTCTTTATGATTGGTTTACCAAGTTGAATTCAACCAACAAGGTCAATAATGCTTAGCCAAAAATATGTTCTGCAAGGCACCAAAATTAAAAACATATCTTTGCTTATTTTATTGCTAATCTGCTGTTATTAGTGGCAGCTCATGTTGCAGTGACTATAAGACAGTCTGCAAAAGTAAAATTTTAAAATAGGCAGAAAATGAAGACAGCACACTGAGAAAAGAAGCCTCTGGTGTTCAGTTCTGTCATTTGGTGTGGACCATCATAAAAATGTGTTCCCACCAGCTGCACACTCAAGCAGGGGTCACTGGTTCAAAGTTCACTTGTCTGGTGTGGTCCTGAATATGGGTGAAGTGTTCACATGTCAAAATGGACCAAACCAGGAGAAAATGTTTGATAGGTCCACACCAAACATGGTACGGGTGACAGTGACCTTAGTAAAGCAAGATAGCAGTAAGAAATATTAAAACTGACAGTAAATTCAAAGCTGGATCCAGTGCTTTACTTTGTGTATTGCAGTAAAACATTTTGCTGGATTAGTGAGCTGCAGCTCCTCTCACTGAACACCAACTCGCAAAGGCTTTACTGTTTGGGAAATGTCTCACCCTCCAGCTGAAATGGAGATTGTGATTGGTTCTGCTAGTGGGTTTGATTCTCTTTGTTTTGGCCATTGCTCTGTGTAGTTTGTTGCCCCAGTGTTTCCAGTGACCCTGGTGGCAGATCAAAGACTAAGCATACGTGACCCTATGCATGACACACATATATTTACTGGCTACAAGTTAGGAGAGATACATTTAGGATTCTAAATAAAATTTAGGATGTAAATAAATGGACCAGAAGTTTATGGTTATGGTTAAGTTATTGAGTTCAGCTGTTTCGGCCACAACTGTTGCTAACAGGTGGATAAAATGGAGTTATGTATGAATGCATTGTGTCAACAGTAAAGTTTGGTGGAGGAGGGATGATGGACTGGGAATTTTCAGGGTTTTGGCCCCTTAGTTACAGTGAAGGGTGATGTTAATGCTAAAGCAGTTAGGCTGGTGATGTCTGGATGCACAAATCCGATCTGATCACTTGCAAATAACAGTGGCGACAGTCGTCTAGAAAAACAAATCCAATTTGCCTTTCATATGTAGCACTGAAATCCATTGCATATCTGATATGCAGCAATGAGTCTGAACAGCAAGACTGGAATTCAGGCAATTTTACGTCATAATTTTGCACCGCTGAGACCTCATAAACATTTGGGCTGATGTTTCTGTACAAAACTAGAAGACTTTTATCCAATTGCTCTGTGTCCGAAGAGATTTCAAAAGAAATGTAAGGAGAAAATGGCTGCAGTGTCAAAAAGAAAAAAGTCTGAAAGTAAAAAGTGGACGTGAACCAAATCAGTGGCCATGGCCGAATAACGTGCCCTTTTTACAGCAAGCTCCAGTGCCTTCTGGGTGAGTCCAGCTGTCAGCAATCAGATCTCCTTTTTAGCTCCTGTAATGGTGGTGAAGATGAAATTGAAACCTTGGCAGAGGACCTGCATTTCGCCACAGTTGGGGTTGTTTACTTCTGGATCAGTGTGCCACCTGAAGCATTGTTCTTTTGCACAAGCGGGTCAGTTTAGGAGTGTGTTCAGACTGATGCCACATATAGGTCACATTTAAAAGATATTGTAGACAGCCTAAAAAAAATCGAATTTGGTGAGAAAATCTACCTGAATGTAGCCTTAGAGAGATTCATATGACAACCTCATAAAACACCAGAACAAGTTTTATTTGAATCAGCCCTTGCATCTCAGAGATGAGGGGGGGGTATACATTCGGTAGGTTTTCAAATCTCCCCGTGACTGTGTAAATTCTGCTAACGTTCCAAACAAAGTTCATCTTAAAAATTGCTGCCATTTTTAATCACAATAGCCAACTTTAGATTTAGCACTCTAGATTTATCCTAGTTAGATATCACTTAGCTAATTAGAAAATTATTTCTCCAAGAACTCATTAAAACAGAAACGAAAGTCAAGTTGTCCAAAAATGACAAAGGTAATACTGCAGCATCACATGGTCAGATGTGAACTGTTTTATAGTAAGTTATACTATAAAGGAAAAAATAGAACACATGTGCACAAGAAGATAGTCGGATTCTCCTGGGGGGCCAAGTGTTCCTTAACTTGAGTGCATCAGCAACTGATCTGGCGATCACTGACACCCTCCTTTAAAAATCAAAAAAGGCACTACGGACATCAAAGGGCAAAGAGGCAGGTACTGTTTTCTACTGTGTCGCATCACCTCTTCTTTTAACAACACTCTGTAAGCGTTTGGGAACTGAGGAAACAAAGTGCTGTTGTTTTGAAAGTGAAATGTTTTCCCATTCTTGTTTGATTTCGGATTTCAGCTGCTCAACAGTTTGAGGTCTTCTTTGTTGTATTTAGCACCCAGACTCTTTTAATACAGAGCCATGCTGTTGTAATACATGCAGAATGTGGTTTGATGTTGTCTTGCTGAAATAAGAAAGGCCTTACCAGAAAAAGACGTCATCTGGATGGCAGCTTATGTTTGTCAGAAACCTATATATATCGTTCAGCATTATTGGTGCCTTCACAGATGTGCAATTCCATGTGCACAAATGCACCCCCATACCATCATGGATGCTGGCTTTTGAACTGTGTACTGATAACAAGCCGGGCGGTCTTTCTCCTTTTTACCATGGAGGACACGGTGTCCATGATTTCCAAAAAGAATTTCAAATTTTGATTTGTCGGACCACAGGACACCTTTACTACTGTGCCTCAGTCCATCTTATATGAGCTTGGACCCAGAGAAGGCGGCAGTGTTTCTTGATCCTGTTTATATATGGCTTCTTCTTTGCATGGTGGAGTTTTAACTTGCATTTGTGAATGCAGTGACAAACTGTTTTCACAAGCAATGGTTTTCGGAAGTGTTTCTGACTCCATGCAGTCATTTCTACTTCAGAATCGTGTCTGTTTTTAATGCAATGCTGTCTGAGGGCCTGACGATTATGGCCATACTGTACTGGTTTTCAGATTTGTCCTTTTGCATAAACAGATTTCTATGGATTCTCTGAATCTTTTAATGATATACTGTCAATGTTGAAATGCCAATTAGTGTTGAAACAGAGTGATTTACATGTATCTCAAAGTTAATGCTTTCTATGACACTTATTTTTATTATTTATTTAGTTTTTATGAGATTTATTTCTTGTTCTAGGATGAATAATCTTTTTCTCACTAAAAAAAAAAAGCATTGCAGATTAAGTATAAAGGTCAGTGCTAAATATTTTGTCTAGCGCAGAGGTCAGTTTTAGGTAGGAAACATTAGTTTAAGTTTCCTTTAGTTAGACAGCAGCTCCTGTTATAAACTGTCCCAGTGAGTATGTGTAGCAGCTCAGTCTAAAGGCAGTGTGAGGTTTTATTTTATATCAGAAATGTGACTATAAAATGGCTTATATTGTGAGTAAGAAGAAAAAGAAAAGCTGTATGAATGAATGAAATTAATGTTGATATAATTAAGAGCCCATCAATCCTCTTCTGTGTATTCGAGGTGCTGATTGGTCCACAGATAGAACCTTATAGAACTAAGTTAGAGTTTCACTTTGGAGATAAAATATTGTTTTCTAGATAAAAAGTACAAAAATGCACACAACTTAAAAACTAACTTTTCACTAACTTTTTATTTATTTATTTATTTTTAAATAAACAGCATATTAAATCAAATTATGCAGCTTAGCCTTTTGTTCAGGCCTAGAATCACTCACTGCTCAATGCGTGACGATGGTCAATAATGGTAAATAATCAGTGTGCCTTTCTAGAAAGGCAGTGTTGGAGAAAATGTTTGTAAATGTGTGAAATTACAATGCAACGTGAATAATGAAAAGAAAAAAGCAGCTGTTTTATACTGTAAATGATTTAGTAGCTACTAATGTGTAAGTTCTGAAGTTTTTAGAGTGATGATATTTGGACCCTTGTACCAACATTTAAGGGGTTTATGTGGTAATCAGTGCATTTTTTTTATTTCAGCCCACGTGAAAGTAGCGTTCTCAGCTGCTTTGGGAAAGGATGGGTACTACGGGCCCTTCACAACCGATGTTACGATGACCTTCAAGAAAGTCTTCACAAATAATGGAAATGCTTACGATCCAGTCACAGGTATTTCCTCATTAATATACTGACAAAGACAATCCTGTATGTAATGGAATCTTTCAACATGCATACCATGGATCCAGAATGCTATGTCTCTTATTACTAAAATCAAGCAGGTGGTATCATGCCTGGCTATGGAGGCAGCCCTGCAATGTATGGAGCTGGATTTGGTGGGATTTTTAGAAATCTTTTCAGAATGGCGATACCATTGTTCAAGAGGGGGTTTAGTATAGCCAAACCACATTTAAAAACAGCTGCTAAAAACATAGTGAAGATTATACAGATCTGAATAACACATTCTTGTACTTTCGTCTTAAAATCACAAAACCTGATGGAAGCGATATAGATATAGATGATGGCGCTGCTGTGGGGTTGATAAACTACCCTGGAGCTACAATATTTTCACAGGTCGACGTGTCCCTAGGTGACAGACTGATATCACAGAGTACGAGTACCTACCCATATCGCAGTATCATAGAATGTCTAGCCAACTATGGCTGGGATACCCTGGAAACTGTTTTCTCTGTGGGACTCTTTTATCTGGACACTGCAGGGCATATGGATGAAACAAACCCCGCTAGGAACAACAGCTTTTTGGCAAAGAGGGCTACATTTACAAATGCTAGTAATGTGGTAGAACTGTTGACCCCAATTCATAGCGACATATTTTTTCAGGAGAAATTTACGCTTAATGGCGTTGATATAAAAAATTGCATGACATGTAGTAAGGACAAATTCTGTCTGATGCAAAATGATTCTCTCAGCATCTTTATTTGTCAAAAAAGTGTCAGCATCACCATCTGTAAGGTTAGGTCATGCTCAGGCACTGCTGTCAACAACGGCTAAATACCCGATTGATAGAGTGTGTCTAAAAAAAATTTAAATACAATCCTGTTCTGTATTCTGTCCCCAAAGTGTTGAGATGAGCTGTTTTTCCTCTGCAGGTGTCTTCACTGCACCAGTCAAAGGGGTCTACCACTTCACAGCCACCATCTTCGGGATGTACAGCAACCACTGGACGGGCATGAGGTTTTTCCATAATGAAGATATACTGTTTACAGTATCTGACCTTTCCAATGGAAACCATGTGATTGTCAGTAGAGACATCAATCTGTCACTGGAGAAGGGCGATGTTGTATTCATAAAACTTACAGCCAACCATCAGGTTTATGATGAATCCAACAACCTTAACACGTTTGGTGGCTTCCTGCTCTTCTCTCTGTGACATGGTGATGGAGGAAGTGTAATTGTTTAATTGTTTATCGCTTTCATGATAACTGGACCAAAGGAAACGACCCAAAATTGCTCAGAAAAAATTGCAAACAATAAACAAAGCTAAAACACAAGAAAAGTGTTTGTTTATTTTCACATAATATGGATTTCACATAATACATTGCATTGATTTACTGTGAACCTAGGTAATGCTTCAGTATAGGGGCAGCGGAATGTCCTGATAATGCATCATTACACTTTACACAAACAGTAGCTGAAGACTCATTACTTTTTTGTGAAGCTTTAACTAGCCTGAATTGAACATTTTCCAGAGTGCTTGTCAATTATACATCACAATCTTAAGCACTTTTATTGAAAGACATCTAACCTGTGAGTCACTAAGAAAACCTGATGAGAGTCATCATCACTTTATTTCTTGATCACTTTTATTTATACAGCATGCTCAAGGATGCTTTACAATCAAAGAACATCAACACATTAAACAAAAGGAAAATACAGGTAAACATTCAAGGTAAATGATAATACAGTGAAACAAGTAAATCTGAATGAAGATAGAGAGGTTGCATTCTGAACAGACTGGGGTGGGTATTCCATAATTTGGGAGCTACTACATTAAATGATCGACCACCCATAGAAGCCAATTTAAAACTTGGAACATGAAGAAGGCCTAGATTTTGCAATCTCAAAGTATGGGATGAGACATATAGATGAAGAAGCTCTGCCAAGTTTTGAGTAACCAGACCATGCAAAGCTTTATATGTTATAAGGAGAACCTTGTACTGAGTACGGAATGTAATGGGCAACCAGTGGAGACTCTGCAGGACAGGGGTGATGTGGTCATTCTTTTTTGAAAAGGTGACGATCCTAGCAGCAGCATTTTGAACACACTGTAACCTAGTCAGGGTTTTGACAGGGAGGCTAGAAAAAAAGAACATTGTAGTAGTCTAGCCGTGATGTCACTACTGCATGCATAAGTGTTTCTACATCAGCTTGGCTGAGAAATGGTCGGATGTGAGAAACATTACGAAATATTATATCAGAGAAAGAGCTGTTTTATTCTGATTAAAGGTGTTGTCAATATTCACAAACGAACAAAAATGTCAGCTTCTGGTTACGTCAAATGGAGGCGCCAAACTCAGCTGGTCTCAAGACCAAATTACCAGTTTATCTTAATGAACGAGATCATTCATTTACCATCTCAAGACTGGTCTAGATGCTACAACACTACTAGAAACTGTAAATAAGCACAGTTGATGTTCAAATAAAGTCAAATCACTAGAAATTAACACCTTCTTAGCACATGGTAATTAGAAATCTTCACTTTAGAACAGAGCAGGGTTTCCCAGTCTGAGTCTTGGTGACCCTTTGCTCTGCTTGCAGCCAATGAGGTGTTGATGTTGTTAAGGTGTGTTTTCAAATGTATCTGGTTTTATAATTTGAGTGAACAGCTGTCTTTGAGAATAATAATATCACTGCTTAACTGGTTAGTATATTTTGTGCTTTAAAGGACAGAATTGTGGGTATTTGACATTTTAGTGAAGCATAAATATTGGAAGCACTATCAGTCTGATCAGAAATCATTGTTAAGAGTGACGTTACTGTACATGTAAAAGGATATGATGTCCTGTTTTTTTTATTTTTTTGCTTTACTGATCTAATTTATCTAATTTATTTTTTTTCTTCTGATGCAGAATTATTTCCAGTATCTGTTATTAGTTGCATCTGACTTTACATCATTGATTAGAAAAGCTACTGAAAGTGGGTGTTTCTTTTTTTTTCCAATGAAAAAAAAGGTACTGAAAAAGGAAGCACTGTTTTCAAAGATCTTGGCAGGTGGTCTCTACTCCTGTTTGGATGCATAACATTTGTTTTGAGAAGCTAATAGATTCTGCACATTTGCAGAAAAGATGTTGAGAATGGTAACAGAACCAGTAGGGGGCAGTATTGCATAATTTTTTGTAGAACGTGGAAATTATACCAATGAGTTCTCACTGTTATAAATCTGACTGTTACTTCTGAGCTCCACCAACAGCGTACTCATATGTTCCTTTTGGAAATTCAGTCACTAAAGTCTTCTCTTCATTTTTGTACAAACATACAGCCAGCCTGTTTGAACTGCTGGAACCAAGTACATTAAACCTGAAGTAATAGACTCCTCTGAGTGGAGCAGTGAAAACACCTGCAGAAGGAGAAACAGATGGATCAGTACAGAGTCTCTACACCACCAGAGAGAAGAACCAAACCAGACATCAGACACCGTCTCTGTACTGACTGTACATTTACCTGTGATTGGACTGAACGCGTTTCCAATGTTTGTGATCTCTTTGCTGAAAACCAGTATGGTGTTCACATTGAAAGGCCAGAGGTAGCCATTTAAGCCTCGAGCGAATGAGAATGCCACCTTTGGTCTGTCTGCATGAATGAATGAATTAATAAACAAACAAATAAATCAATGTCATTTTTGATACTGATTTGGTGTGTTGAATTTTGCATGTTACTCAGCTTTTTTATTAATAAAGCCTTTGAAAAATGATCTTTCTGTTTCACATGTAAGACTTACTTGCATTATCCTCTCTCAGTGCTTCCGCACCACCTTCAGCAGAGACCACTCTCCCCTCCAAAGCTGGGAGACACACAAAACAAATAAATAACTATCCAACCAGCTAAACACAGAATCAGATTATTGACCAAATGAATCAGTTTCAGTAAAGCTCTGTAAACAAAGGCTACACTTCACAAATATCTATGCTAAACCCTGGACTTATATACTAAACTAACAGATCACAAGAAACAAGGAACAGGTGAGGTGAATCACTACTTAGGTGAAGCAGACCTGTGGAGAGTCATGTGAGGGAGATCAGAGGTCATGTGATCAGGCGAAGTGTTCTGGGAGATGGATTGCAGAGGCTGGGAGGTAGTGTCAGTGGGAACGGAGGGAGGTGTGACAGCGAGATAGACTTGGCCAAAAATTATTTATGATATTCAATAAACAGCGTACCCTCATATCACTGGCTAAAGTCAACCATCGTGGCCAAGTACAGGTCCAGTTCCTCCCAATGTTCAGGGTAGACTTGACACAAAACATCTCTATAAATGTCAAATGTGACAACGAACTCCCCAAAGGAGAGATTGTGCTGCAGCCTAGGATCAGACATTTTAAGAAAAAACGAAAGATGGATGGACGAGCAAGGAGGCCTAATTAAAGTTCTTACTCTGAAGAATATTGGACCTGATGCAAGCAGAGGGCAGTAGCCACCGCAAGAGGAATGAGCGGCCTACCCAAGGCTTGTGCAGGTAGAGCAGTGGAGAGACTGGAAGACTCTGGATGACTTACTGCAGTTGGAGATCCAGGGCAGCTGGATCCTAGGAGACTGGAGGCCGAGAATGCAGAAGAGCAGGGTGCTTGCAGGAACTTTTCGCAGTGAGCTGATGCTGTGGGAGAAGCAGGAGCAAGTCTGCAGGAGGAATGGAGGGGCTGCTCAGAGCCGGAATGTCATGATCACACAAAGGCCCCAAAATCTTCTTGGAAGGTCAAGAAGACCATAAAGACTCACAGCTATGGATGTGAGCACTGCAATGCATAGAAGTCATCAGAGTCAATCAGAAACTTGAATATCAGCGATCTCTCTCGGAGACGTAGCTGCTATGTGTATCAAAATGACGGAATGTCAGGGACTTGCCCTAAGCATCTCCTTACACCATTAGCCTGACCAGTCTTGTGTCACTGAGTCCCATTTTGAGTTGCTTAAACCGTTTATCATATCTTCAGCATTTTCATAAAACCCGAAAAAAAAACAAACAAACAAAAAAAAAAAAACAAGGTTGTTGTCTTCTTGTAATGTTACATGTTTTGATTAAAATACTACCTTATGATCAGGGAAATGATTAAACACATTAAATTTTAAATTTTTGGGTTATGCATGAACAAATGACACATTGAACCAATGATAATGCATATGCAGAGCACAACTTGTGTCCTGGAAAGATAAGTAGTGCTAGATATGGCAGGTAACAGGAAGATCTGGAACAAAAACAAACCCAGAAGTTTATCTCCTTTATGATGGATAAACAGAATCTGTGTTTATTTTAATGATCATTTCTGTCACTACACAACAAATGGGAGTTCACAGTTAAAGTGTGTGTATGCCATTGTAGGAGGTGACAGTATTCTACATTGAACTAGCTTATCAAGGCCACAGTCTACTTGATGGGATGAGGAGCTCAGTCTTCTGGGAGGAGCGTAAAGTAGAGCCACTACTCCTCCAGATTGAGAGGAGACCATTGAGGTGGTTTGAACATCTGATTGGGATGCCCCCCTGGCCACCTGCCATTGGAGGTTTACCAAGCATGGCTTACTGGGATGAGAGGTCGTCGTAGGACTTGCTGGAGGGATTATATCTCCAAGTTGGCCTTGGAGCAGCTCAGGATCCCCCAGAATGAGCTGGAGGAAGTTACGGGGGACTCTCTGTTTTCTCTATTGCTATCGTGACCCAAGTTGGATCAAGTGGTTTAAGAAGATGAATGAATGAATGACGGTCAGGATCAAAAGCTTTCAGTTGCTTATGTTCTCAGCTGCTTTAATAAGTGCTGTTCTGCAATTACTTATTGATACTGTCACTAATCTCCATTTTTGGGTTTTTGACATAATTTGAAGGTGCCTGTTTTTTACATTGTGTGTAAATTTCATGATAAATGGACCCAAAGAAATGGGCCAAAATGACTGGCTTCAACAAAAGTCTAGTTTCATTGAGTTATATTGAATATGTTTTTTCTTCTCCTGTAAAAATATCATGGTAACACTTTCTATGAATGTCACCTTTTGTAAGCAGCTATAAACATATTTATAACATGTTATAATGCATTCATAAGGCATTATAAACATGGTTATAAATATTTATAAAAAAAAGAATTACACTGAATTACCCTTTATAGCCATGTTTATTATACATTATGAGTTATTAATATAATGCATTATAAATAGTGTTAATAACATGTTATAATGTCAGTGCCAAAGAAGTCAGTCCCAGCTTGGAGAGCATAAAGTGAAGACAAATACCAAGCTAACGGTGGTGAACATTACCTTTCCCACATTGGGTAAAACACTGATGGCAG